CTTTATGCTCATAAACTACAGACAGTAATGCGCTGCAGTGCTGTGTCTGTACTTTATGCTCATAAACTACAGACAGTAATGCGCTGCAGTGCGTGTGTCTGTACTTTATGCTCATAAACTACAGACAGTAATGCGCTGCAGTGCTGTGTCTGTACTTTATGCTCATAAACTACAGACAGTAATGCGCTGCAGTGCTGTGTCTGTACTTTATGCTCATAAACTACAGACAGTAATGCGCTGCAGTGCGTGTGTCTGTACTTTATGCTCATAAACTACAGACAGTAATGCGCTGCAGTGCTGTGTCTGTACTTTATGCTCATAAACCACAGACAGTAATGCGCTGCAGTGCGTGTGTCTGTACTTTATGCTCATAAACTACAGACAGTAATGCGCTGCAGTGCGTGTGTCTGTACTTTATGCTCATAAACTACAGACAGTAATGCGCTGCAGTGCTGTGTCTGTACTTTATGCTCATAAACTACAGACAGTAATGCGCTGCAGTGCTGTGTCTGTACTTTATGCTCATAAACTACAGACAGTAATGTGCTGCAGTGCTGTGTCTGTACTTTATGCTCATAAACTACAGACAGTAATGCGCTGCAGTGCTGTGTCTGTACTTTATGCTCATAAACTACAGACAGTAATGCGCTGCAGTGCTGTGTCTGTACTTTATGCTCATAAACTACAGACAGTAATGCGCTGCAGTGCGTGTGTCTGTACTTTATGCTCATAAACTACAGACAGTAATGCGCTGCAGTGCGTGTGTCTATACTTTATGTCAAATGTAAACGGTGTAAACTTTGTCGCTAACTCACCCTGTGTTTTCATCACGACTCGGGCACATGTGAAAAGCACCAGCTCACAGCGCCGCACCACAACACAGAGTCAGGGTGCGTTCAGACGGTGGAAACCGTAGGAATTTTTAGATTTTGGCGGAAAAAGTGCGAGAATACAGGAGGGAGGAACTTTCTCTCGTTGCGTTTCAAAAGAGAAAACAGATTCCAACGTTCATAGTGATGTCTGCCGTTCATGACACATAAAATGAACTAATTCACGTTCAAGTTCTTTTTTAAAAAATGTGTTGCGTTCAGTTCAACGTTCACGAAAAAATGAGCGTGTTCAATGAACGCGTTCTTTTGAACTCGTTCACGCACAACACTGGAGTACGATGGTGTGGACCAGTGAGGACCAGTGGGGATGGGTCCCGGCTCAAAACCTTCCATGAGCATGTGCGCTAACATACTTGTAATTCCAACCTGGTATTACAGAATTACCCAATGTTTTTGTACGCCGTCTGCTTATCTCTCGAAAACGTTTTCACAGGATGGTCTAAAAGTGGCTCTTGGTCCAAAGCTTCGTTCCAGATGCTGTCGATGTTGAGGAGAGTATATTTGTTTGGACCAGTCTAGTTTAGTCGCTGTGGACTTCAGAATGCACTAGTTAAATGAATGGGGCTAGTGCAGCTAACGCACGCGCAAATACTTTTTTTCACATGTTCCTGCGGGAGGAGCTGCCCGCGGCCATTTTGAAAAAGCCACGGCAGGAAAAAGTAATGGCACATTAGTTTCAACGCTGGAGAGAGGCCTCACTACGACTGTTCATATTTACAGTCTATGGATGAGACCGGGCTACACTTCTATCTCTTCCAGAACCGCTCACACTAATCTGATACATGGAGGATCCGGTGTTGTCACATAAACTTTAAGAAAAATACTGCTGATCATATACTGAGTGTCGTTTGACCCATCCCACAATCGCACTAGGGCCTGGAAAGGAGCAGAGGACCCAGCTGGAGGGTGAGGCTTTTTATTACATTGTACATGATTGTATGGACATGAAAGCACCCAGAGGAATCCTACGCAGACACAAAGAGAATATGCAAATTCAGAAAGGCCATGTCCCGACCGGAGCTTGAATTCTGACTCATACAGAGCAGAACGTGCCGTCCTCCTCCACCCTAAGGCTAGACCACCTCTGCTGCTCCACCCAGATGCTAGACCACCTCTGCTGCTTTTTAACCTGGATTTGAACATTGTCAGAGAAGAAAACAGTTTCACATTTTCAGGAAGACAGCTCTAGATTTTAGCTGTATAAATTGGAAATGCTGAATCTCCATTTTTAGTCCTGACTCTCGACACCTTCAGGAGCCCTGTCCCTGTGCTCCTCAGAGTCCCAGCAGGAGGTCAGTCCCTGTGCTCCTCAGAGTCCCAGCAGGAGGTCAGTCCCTGTGCTCCTCAGAGTCCCAGCAGGAGACCAGTCCCTGTGCTCCTCAGAGTCCCAGCAGGAGGCCAGTCCCTGTGCTCCTCAGAGTCCCAGCAGGAGACCAGTCCCTGTGCTCCTCAGAGTCCCAGCAGGAGACCAGTCCCAGTGCTCCTCAGAGTCCCAGCAGGAGACCAGTCCCAGTGCTCCTCAGAGTCCCAGCAGGAGACCAGTCCCTGTGCTCCTCAGAGTCCCAGCAGGAGACCAGTCCCTGTGCTCCTCAGAGTCCCAGCAGGAGGCCAGTCCCTGTGCTCCTCAGAGTCCCAGCAGGAGACCAGTCCCAGTGCTCCTCAGAGTCCCAGCAGGAGACCAGTCCCTGTGCTCCTCAGAGTCCCAGCAGGAGACCAGTCCCTGTGCTCCTCAGAGTCCCAGCAGGAGGCCAGTCCCTGTGCTCCTCAGAGTCCCAGCAGGAGACCAGTCCCTGTGCTCCTCAGAGTCCCAGCAGGAGACCAGTCCCTGTGCTCCTCAGAGTCCCAGCAGGAGACCAGTCCCTGTGCTCCTCAGAGTCTCAGCAGGAGACCAGTCCCTGTGCTCCTCAGAGTCCCAGCAGGAGGCCAGTCCTTGTGCTCCGGTCCCCTGTGAACCAACAAATCCTCTCTCTCATAAACATACGTCTTCATTCTTAAACAATAACACATCCCATTCTTGAGCATTATTAAACATTCTTGTGTGACGAACCATGTGGCCTCGGTACGAACCATGTGGCCTCGGTACGAACCATGTGGCCTCGGTACGAACTATGTGGTGACCTATTTAATCTGTAACATAATGAGACAGAGTTTTCCAAGAGTTTTCCAAGAGTCCCTTTAACCAAAGCAGTTCTCAGAAAGAGAGCTGTCTCTGATCCCTCCGTGTTGGCGGTTACAGAGTTTCAGTTATGTTTCATCACCGTGATAAAACCAGTTTGAACACACTTTTGGCGTCCGCTCAAACTCCACAAACTTGTCATTGTGTTTGGTTTTACTTCTGCTGACACAGTCTAGCTTTACCCATGACTAAAACATTACTTGGAACAGATACAGATACTTGCAGAAGAAACAACTGGACAAAGCAAAGATAATGTCCCTCATGTAAGAAAAGAAAATTAAATGCATTTTTGCTCAATCATAAACTTTGTCTATTACAATAACAATGTTTTTGGTTCAGACACATCCAAATATGCAGAGGTAGAATTAGAATTAGAAGCATAACTAACCCCTTCTAACTGAGCAGTGCAGGGGCTGGACAGTACCTGGATGGGAGACCGCCCAAACCCAATCCCGGGGCCCACAGTGACGGTGCACGGTGTTCAATCCTGTCAGGTCCTAAACGTCCTAAAATGTATCACTTTATTATTCTTTCCTATCTCGCTTTATGCTATAACATGTTTGAAGACGTTTTCAAAATGTGCCTGAAAATAAAACACCAATGTATCACATTATGAATGTATTTATCACAGGTACAAAGGGCTTCAAAGGAATTAGGCTGAAACTAATGCTTCTGTTGTTGTTGAGATGTTTCTACAAGTCTGGAGCACAGCTGTGAGTTCTACTGGTTTCACCGGTTCAAGGGACTGTCTGTAGACCTCTAGACCAAGTCCTGAGGCCTAAGTAACTGTCTGTAGACCTCTAGACCAAGTCCTGAGGTCTAAGTAACTGTTTGTAGACCTCTAGACTAGTCCTGAGGTCTAAGTAACTGTCTGTAGACCTCTAGACCAAGTCCTGAGGCCTAAGTAACTGTCTGTAGACCTCTAGACCAAGTCCTGAGGCCTAAGTAACTGTCTGTAGACCTCTAGACCAAGTCCTGAGGCCTAAGTAACTGTCTGTAGACCTCTAGACTAGTCCTGAGGCCTAAGTAACTGTCTGTAGACCTCTAGACTAGTCCTGAGGCCTAAGTAACTGTCTGTAGACCTCTAGACCATGAGGTCCAAGGCTTTGACCCCCTCCTCCCCAGCCTCAGTCTTCCCTCATGTGGCCTCGGTCCTCGTTCTACAGTCTGAGTCCTGGATCTGTTTGATTCTCTGATCTGTGAAGGTGAATCGACAACTTTGTAAATCCCTCCCTTTGTAAATCACATCAGGAACAGTCCAACACTGAGAATGTTCTGTTTCTCAAAGTGTGGTGCGTGAACAATCACAGCTGCAACACGGTGGAAAGTATTCATCAGCGTCTGTCCTTTATCTCCGTCTGTAACGCTCGGTCCACGCTCTTGTGTTTTTATCTCTCTGTTTACAAATGTTTTATGTTTTTATGAAGCTTCAAATGAGTCTGACTGTGATGATGGCTCTGACATGAACCTGCCGTGGGACGACCCATGGACACCAGCCTGCAGGTCTGGGTCTGGGTCTGGCCTCAGTTGGGTCTGGCCTGAGTTGGGTCTGGGTCCGGGACTGGCCTCAGTTGGCTCTGGGTCTGGGTCTGGGTCTGGTCTGAGTCTTGGTCCTGGACCTGGCTGATCATTGGTTGCAGTCTTGGCTTCATTGAAAAGTCTAAACTAAACTGGGTCTGTCTGGAACTATTTTTATTATTATTATTATTATTCAACAATAAATAACTACTTCCATGTTTAAAATAAAAAGTACATTTTTGGATAAATATAAATGAACTAAAGACTTTCAGTTCATTTTTCTCTGAACCGAGTCACAGAGAAATGACTTTCACAGAAACTCAAGTCGACTCCAGAAACTTCTTCAAATCAAAAACCTCCAACTTTAAAGTTCAGCGTCGGACTCAGAGATCTGGAAACACCAGAAAGATCCAGAGATGGACCGGAACTGCTGGGCCTCGTTCATGGGCATCTTCATCATCTTCATCCTCATCATCATCATCTTCATCCTCATCATCATCTTCATCATCATCTTCATCCTCATCATCATCTTCATCATCATCTTCATCCTCATCTTCATCCTCATCATCATCTTCATCATCATCTTCATCATCATCATCATCATCATCATCTTCATCATCATCTTCATCCTCATCATCTTTATCATCCTCATCATTATCCTCATCATCTTCATCTTTGCCATCTTCTTCATCATCATCCTCATCTTCATCCTCATCATCCTCAGTTGTTATGTGAATGAAGCTGAGGATTGATGAAACAAACAAAAACCTCCAAAAGAACAACATAAATGTGAGATCGATCACTTTTTTATTGATGAACTGTTTCAGAGTGAAATCCTAAATGCTTTATTAGCATTTGTCCAAAAACATCAGCATTCCTCCAGTGGATTTCCACTTGGTCTGTTTGGCTTGGACCATCCTCGGCCTGGTCTGGTCTGGATCAGTGTAGAACCATGAACACACAAGCGCAGTAACATTAGAAAAATAACGTTTGTAAAACACAAAACAATATCATTAATTATACAAAACAACACACACACTTTTAAATCCTTTCCAAAGAGTAGCTCCATGTTCTGAGACACACATGGATCTCACAGGGAAAGTACGCGTTTACTGCGCACTATCTACACTGACCGTGAGCAGGTCCTTCTGATGCTGTCCCTGTGCAGTCTGTGGGGCAGTGCAGAGGACAGTACAGAGACTGATGTAGAGCAACACAAACCACATGTGTTTGTCTTCATGGTCTCTGTTGCTGGTTTGACCAGACGCCAGACTTTATGAAAGCATAAAAAACTATGTCTAGAATCAGTGTGAAACCTGCTGCTCCTCCTGCTGATGTTTAGATACGAGTGTGTGTGTGTGTGTGTGTGTGTGTGTGTGTGTGTGTGTGTGTGTGTGTGTGTGTATGTGTGTGTGTGTGTGTGTGTGTGTGTGTGTGTGTGTGTGTGTGTGTGTGTGCAGATGTGATCTAGAGCCAAGGGCCGCTAGAAAAATCATGTTTCACATGTGTTTTCAATGGAGACGCGTTGCTGTGCGCACAAAATTAGAAATCCATCCTAAATTCGGCGCAGCCTCGCGTCATACGTCCGTCACACGTCCGTCATACGTCCGTCACACGTCCGTCATACGTCCTTCATACGTCCGTCATACGTCCGTCATACGTCCGTCATACGTCCTTCATACGTCCGTCACACGTCCGTCATACGTTCGTCATACGTCCGTCATACGTCCGTCATACGTCCGTCATACGTCCGTCATACGTCCGTCATACACATGTAGCCCTTGTTTGCTCATTATTTACTTGAGTGGGCTAGGGGTTCCTTAATGTGTGTACTCCCGTACTAAATAGTCTGACTCTAGAGCTATTTATACTATTTTGGGTCGCAGGGCTATACTTTTACTCACACAAAGATATTCCAAACAGATACAAATACCTGAATTAACTTAACACCAGACACGAGGTAAGTATAAAAAAATCCCCTCCCTTTAATTACAAAAGAAAATAATAAAGCTCAAAATCCAGTTAAATGCACATTTCAAGGGACTGTAACATAAACAATGCTCACAGACACAATGAATACATTACAATTTAACTAAAGCCGGCATCTATATACACCCTACGTTGCAGGCCTGTATCGATGCTTGGGTGCGGTGAGACCAAAAACTGATGGTCGCTTCACTCACTGAGCAAAATAAACAAAAAGAAAGAAGGTACCTTGTGTACAGCGTTTATTCAACCGATACTTGTAGTTCAGCTCCGGGTCTTTCCTCGCGTTGTCCTCTCAGTGCTCAGCGGGCTCCGGGCAGTGGTGTGGCGTCAATGGCGGTGCAGGTGCGCGGTCCCACCCGGTCCAATACGTCTCGTCCCGCCGCTGTTTCCCACGTAGCCAGAGGTACTCTGAGCGTCGCGGGCACTCAGAGTGCTATCTGGGATCCGTCTGTCTCGTTGTCCAGTTCGGCAACGATCCACCGTCAGCTTCTGCGGTTTCGCGGGGTTGGCGAACCGTAGCCTCAGTCTTTGATATGAGGTTGTTTTTTTACAATCTCAATAAGCAAGTAATAAGCGATGAAAACACAGTCCATAAGCTCCGAGTTGAAACTACTGAGTTTTTATCGCACTTCACTCTCCCGATGGCTTCTTTTCTTTTTTTAAAAACACCACGGTACAAAAAAAACTTTCTCTTAAAACACGACGTTAGCTCACACTGTCCTCCGAGCATCTCTCGAACTTTCTCCCTCTCTCTCTCACACAACGTTGCGTCACCTTCACTGACCATCCAAGAATCAGAAGAAACAGCACTTTTACACATGTACAAAATAGTAAATAAAATAAATATGAATTATGCATTTTAACACTTGTAAATATGTTTAATCATTTTTTAATGAACAATCTATGCTAATGAATTATCAAAAACAATGAATTCTCTTTAACCTTTTTATAACTTAAATATGTTACCACTTTTATTCACTTTTAACACTGCGATTATTATCCGGGTTACACCCTCCCCCCACTAAATGTCTGGTGTCCCCAACAGACTACCATACTACTAAATGAACTAGGGAAGAATGACCCATATCTAATCAAAGGCTAATGATCTTTTCCTATCGTGATGACCACACCTCTATGGATTATAGTGATTGGTTGGTCTTTAGCTTTTCCTGGCTCATCATAGGTTAACCGAACTACTGGTTTAACCTGTCTCTTAGACACAAACTTTGGAGTTTCAGCCATTTGGTCATGAGGCGTTGTAAGTTTTGGAACTCTGGCAGACCGTGTTGCTCTCATCTTCACCTCTGGTTCTGGAGTAGAATAGACTTCTTCAAATTCTTCTTGGTCACTTTCTCCTTGAGTGGTCTCCATTGGATTTGTGTCAGTTTCTCTTTCTTCACCACACTCTTCTTCATTCTCTGTTTGCGACTCTTGCATACTTTCATCCTCACTTTCCTTCTCTTGATCACTTGCAAGGTCTCCTTGAGTCTCTTGAGGCCTTAGAGTTTGTCTGAGAACTTCCTTTACTCTTTGAGTGTAGTGGCGTCTCTGGGGCTCATAGTACTCGTACTCTGACTCGGATTCTTGTGACACTTGAGGCTCGACCATAATCCTCGGCGGTGTAGGAGTTTTTGCCTTTCGTCTGACGGGACAATGCTTTTCTTCAGCTGGTGGTGGCAATTTCACATGCTGTCCAATAGGTAGTATGTGGTCCCTGTGGATGGTCTTGATAGTACCACTCCCATGTTCTCTTCTTATTTGATACACAGGGAGATTTGGCATCTTCCCAATGACTTCGTAAGGTATTGGACTCCATCTTGGTTCCAACTTGTGCTTTCCTTTGAGACCCCAATTCTTTAACAAGACTCTGTCGCCTACTTCCAATGATTGAAAACCAACTCTTTTGTCGTATGCATTTTTGTTCTTTTGATGGATTTTATCAGCTGTTTCAGATGCTAATTTATACGCTTGGTGCAGATCTTCTTTTAACTTTGACACATAGCGTGAGTGACTTTCCACTGCGTCATCTGGGGAGATCCCAAAGCACAGGTCTACAGGTAACCGGGCTTCACGTCCAAACATAAGAAAATATGGTGAAAAGCCAGTAGCGTCACACTTGGTGCTGTTATATGCGTGGACTAGGTATGGGACATGTTGGCTCCACTGACGTTTCTTGTCTGTGCTCAGAGTTCCCAACATTGAAAGAAGTGTACGATTGAATCTTTCAGGTTGTGGGTCACCTTGTGGATGATACGGGGTTGTGCGTGATTTTCTTATCCCCAATGTCTTTAGCAAGTCTCTGATGAGGTGACTCTCAAAATCTCTACCCTGGTCGGAATGGATTCGAGCAGGAAGACCATAGTGGACGAAGAATTTCTCAACTAAAATATTGGCCATGGTTTGAGAAGTTTGGTTCTTGGTCGGATACGCTTGTGCATAGCGAGTAAAATGATCTGTAACTACCAAAACATTGCTTAAGCCTTTGGAATCAGACTCCATAGATAAAAAATCAATACATACAAGATCCATAGGGCCACTGCTCGAAATCTGGTGCAGCGTTGCAGCTCTTTGAACAGGAGTCTTTCGCATTATGCATTCACCACAACTTTTAATGTGTTGCTCAGCATCACGTGACATTTTAGGCCAGTAGAACCTCCTACGAAGCAAATCCAGGGTTCTCTCTGTACCAAGATGTCCTGACTCGTTGTGCACTGACTGCAACACAACTCCATGATATTTCTTTGGCAGGACTAGTTGAGCAATGTCATCACCGGATTGCTGTTTGATGATGCGATAGAGCAGGCCATCTTGTATGGTTAACTTGTCCTTCTCACGTTTTAGGTGAGACAATTCGGGACCAGTATCTGTCCATTGGTGCTGCTGGACAGCTTTTACGGCTGGACCAATTATTGGATCTTCTTTCTGAGCTTTCGCTAGATCAGTGTTAGAAACGTGTTCAAGGGACTGCAATTCCATTTTCAGTGGAAATGCATAGATGTCTGGTATGCATTCTGGGGAAGCACCAGTTTGATCAATACATCTTGCAGGGTGGTTTGGAGTTTCTGACACATGGACTTTTTTGCAGATGGACTTGACAGCAGCCTCTGGAATTGTCTCCCATTCTGTACTCTCAAAGTTTCTGGACAGGATGTCTGCGTCGATATTGTGCTTGCCGGGACGATAGTGAACATCGAAGTCATATGTAGATAGCGCTGCAAGCCACCGGTGTCCTACTGCATTGAGCTTGGCAGTAGACAGCACGTACGTCAACGGATTGTTATCTGTACGCACTGTAAATCGAGCACCGTATAAGTAGTCATGAAAGCGATCCACCACTGCCCACTTTAACGACAGAAACTCCAGTTGATGTACTGGGTATCTCTTCTCAGCCTGGCTTAGCTTCCTGCTAGCAAATGCAACTGGCCTTAACTCATTGTCCTCTTGCGGCTGGTACAGGACAGCTCCCAGTCCTTTGAAGCTTGCATCCACATGAAGTTCATAGGGCTTGGTTGGATCTGCAAAAATCAGAACAGGTGCATGCGTAAGGCAGTAGATGATCTGGTGAAAGGCTTGGGTGCAGGAATCATCCCACCGCTCTCCAAAGGGTTCAGACTCTTTCAGGTAGGACTTGTTTTGTTCAGCACTCTTCTTTCGGTTCTTTTGCGTTGGGGCATAACCTTTGGTTAGTTCCGTCAAGGGTCTTACAATAGCAGCATAGTTTGCAATAAATCTTCGGTAGTATCCACAAAAGCCCAAGAACGAACGAAGAGACTTAAGATCTTTTGGTAGAGGCCAGGAAGTGACAGCCTCAATCTTCTGGGGATCAGGGGAGACACCTTGAGCAGACACGATATGCCCCAAGTATTTCACTTCTGGCTGGCAGAACTGGCATTTATCCAAGGAGATCTTCAGCCCCACTTCAGCGAGACGATCCAAAACTTTGAGCAGTCGCTCTTCATGTTCCTCCAAAGATTTTCCAAAGACTATGAGGTCGTCTAAGTAGACCAAGACCTGAAGGAGATTCATATCACCGACTGTCCTCTCCATTAATCTTTGAAAAGTTGCAGGGGCACCAGTTATTCCCTGTGGCATTCTTTCGAATTGGAAGAAGCCGAGCGGGCAGATGAATGCTGTCTTCTCTTTATCTTCCTCTGCCATGGGAATCTGATAGTACCCACTGCGCAGATCGAGCACAGTAAACCATTTGCTTCCCGACAGTGAATCGAGGGCTTCATCAATGCAGGGAGTAGTGTATTGGTCTGGCACTGTTCTGCTGTTGAGAAGCCTGTAGTCTATGCACATCCGGATTGTTCCGTTCTTCTTCCGAACTATTACAATCGGTGAGGCATAAGGGCTACGGGACTCTTTGATGATACCAGCACACAGCAACTCTTGCAGATGTTTTCTGACATCCTCTATGTCTGCTGGAGCCAGGCGGCGTGATCTTTGACGAAAAGGTCTTGAGTCAGATAGACGTATGGTGTGTTCCACATCTTTGGCCAGACCAACATCCCACTCATCGACCGAGAAGACTTGAGAGCGTTCAACCAGTTTCTTTCTAAGCCGGTCTTTCCACTCTTGAGGCACGGGTGAGTCACAAAAGTCAATCTGATTGCTGCTCAACTCATGCATTTTTGCCTGTTGGGGTGGCATAGAGATGACACTTTCAGTGCGATACATGTGTCCTATGACTGTGCCAACTGGTATTTTGGTTTCTCTGCCAGATTGATTTTGCACTAGGATTCGGAAACTGTTGGTCTGAACAGCATTGGCAGGCACAACCATGGGCTGCAGCAGTACATCACCCGGCAGTGGAGATAAAGGGGATGAGTCAACCATTAAGATCTCTTGACCAACTGTCTGTTTGAAGTTGACTTCACAGTTTATTTGCATACCTTCTCCCGGAGGTAGGGATAAGGGGTTGGGGCCTTGCCATATCACCCAGCCTACTTCATCTTCACTGGAGGTCATGGTTTCAGTTACCACATTTCTCCATTGACCTTTGGCCTTGATCCCCAACGTTTTGGTTATGTCAACACCATTTTTCTTGCATTGCTGCACCAAACTGCGGACATGACTTGTGTTAGTTCCAACAATGACAGGAACATGTTCTTCTTTTGGGCTTGGGCAGATCAGGGCCAGAACTGTCACAATGTGGTTGCTGCCTGTTACTTCGGCTGGGTACTCAAAATCGACCACAACATAACCACGGTATGGGTAGCTTACGTTAGACTCACTTAAACCCCAAAGGTCGAGACCAGTCACTGGTTGCACTGGGACAGAAGACAAATGGGCTTTATACCAGGACTCAAATATTATGGTGACCTGCGATCCACTGTCGAATAGGGCGTCACAGGGCGTTCCATTGACTTTGAGGGGTACAACACTTGGTGGCCCAATTAGTCCTTCTGGAATGCCAACGGGGGTGACTGTCGTGAGCAAACCTTGTTTGACATGGCAGTTAGTGTCAGGGGGATTACTTGTCGTGGTACTTTCTTTCATTGTCTTGACAGCTTGAATGAGCTTCCTTATAACCTTGCCCTGGTTTTCCGGATTGTGACACTTAGCCGCATAATGTCCTTGTTCACCACAACGATAGCAGAACTGTTCGTCGAGTGGCTGTCGGTTTCTGTTGGGAGTGCTTGTCTTTGGTGAAACATCAACTTTTTTTACTCTAGCTGGCTTTTCAGACAGTTCAGGAGCATCATCTTTTTGTTCCACTTTATGCTGAAGCCGTTTGACTTGTTTCTTTAAAGCAGCAAGCTCATAAGTATCACTGTGTTCACTTGACTGGGTTGTGGATACCGGTGATGCACTACGCCGTGTCTCTTTGGCTGCAGGGGATAAGCTCATACAGGCTAGTTTGGTCTTGAGCTCTTTTACTTCATCTTTCAAACTCTGTAATTCCGCATGGCTTTCAGCTCCAACATGTTTTGTCCGTACTGGCTGTACTGAAGATCTTAGTCTTCGTCTTGACGCCTCATACTCTTCCTCAGTGCGAATTTCACTTAATAGCTGGAGGAATGTGGGAGGTGAGGACTTTCTTTCACGGAGACGCAACTGAATAAGCATAAGATCAGAAGCGGTGGCCCCTCGTAACAGCTGTTCCAAACGAGCTGTGTCTTTGCTACTAGTTGGGAACCCTCCTCTCTGGACAACTTTTATGAGGGCTCTCTCCAAGCGCCTCAGAAAATCCGACAGCTTTTCACCGGGTAACTGTTGCATTAACCGAAAGGAAAAGTAGAGGTCATCTCCAGACTCTGCACTTCCAAACGCGCCTTCCAATGCATTCAGATACTCTGAGGGACATGCTTCAGGATCTGAATCTCTGACTGATTTTGCAATTTCTAGTGCGGGCCCCTTTAAACTTTCGATTAGTCTGCGCTTTTTTTCTCTGTCCGAACATTCACTTTCTTCCACCATGAGCCATGCCTGTTCAAGCCAGTGGTCAAATGCCTCTTCACTGGGGGGTATTGGCAGATTTCCAGAGAACAATCGTAAACGCCGATAGCCACCTTCAGTTGTCGGTTTACAGGTTTTCTCCAACAGATCACCAACTGCAAGCAGAATGGACTCAGTGGGGTTGGCTGGGGACTCGGGGTAAGTTGACTGAGGCGCAGCATTAGGAAGAAGACCTTTAATATCCTCCAAGGTCTTGCCTTCCGCAGCTAACAGAGTTTGTAGCTTAACACGGAAGTCATCAAGTGGGGCAGCATCGCCAACCGTGATTATTTGCCAACTCAATTCACTTTCCATGTTAACCACTTCTTTGGGCACATCTCCTTGTGAAAATTTCTCTCTGCATTCACATAGAACAGTGAGGGAACTCAAAGCAGTGTTGAAAATGCGGCCTCTGACCCGGACGCGTCCAAAACATTTTATGGTGCCCACAGTTTCTTCAATTGTGGCTATATCCACATCTTCTGGGACCACTACCAATAACGCTTTTTCTTCCTCCAGTCCTTCACCGCGACACCACCTCTTCAGCTCTGCAACATGGTTAGTGCGGTCTGCCATGGTTTTATGAGCCAAAAGAACCAGAAAATGTAATTTCTGTAACTTTGTGGAAACTTTAGAAACTTACGTATTGCCCCTTTAATTCCTCTAGATGGACCCAAAACATCCCAGCGGTGCCTCCATTTTATGTAGCCCTTGTTTGCTCATTATTTACTTGAGTGGGCTAGGGGTTCCTTAATGTGTGTACTCCCGTACTAAATAGTCTGACTCTAGAGCTATTTATACTATTTTGGGTCGCAGGGCTATACTTTTACTCACACAAAGATATTCCAAACAGATACAAATACCTGAATTAACTTAACACCAGACACGAGGTAAGTATAAAAAAATCCCCTCCCTTTAATTACAAAAGAAAATAATAAAGCTCAAAATCCAGTTAAATGCACATTTCAAGGGACTGTAACATAAACAATGCTCACAGACACAATGAATACATTACAATTTAACTAAAGCCGGCATCTATATACACCCTACGTTGCAGGCCTGTATCGATGCTTGGGTGCGGTGAGACCAAAAACTGATGGTCGCTTCACTCACTGAGCAAAATAAACAAAAAGAAAGAAGGTACCTTGTGTACAGCGTTTATTCAACCGATACTTGTAGTTCAGCTCCGGATCTTTCCTCGCGTTGTCCTCTCAGTGCTCAGCGGGCTCCGGGCAGTGGTGTGGCGTCAATGGCGGTGCAGGTGCGCGGTCCCACCCGGTCCAATACGTCTCGTCCCGCCGCTGTTTCCCACGTAGCCAGAGGTACTCTGAGCGTCGCGGGCACTCAGAGTGCTATCTGGGATCCGTCTGTCTCGTTGTCCAGTTCGGCAACGATCCACCGTCAGCTTCTGCGGTTTCGCGGGGTTGGCGAACCGTAGCCTCAGTCTTTGATATGAGGTTGTTTTTTTACAATCTCAATAAGCAAGTAATAAGCGATGAAAACACAGTCCATAAGCTCCGAGTTGAAACTACTGAGTTTTTATCGCACTTCACTCTCCCGATGGCTTCTTTTCTTTTTTTAAAAACACCACGGTACAAAAAAAACTTTCTCTTAAAACACGACGTTAGCTCACACTGTCCTCCGAGCATCTCTCGAACTTTCTCCCTCTCTCTCTCACACAACGTTGCGTCACCTTCACTGACCATCCAAGAATCAGAAGAAACAGCACTTTTACACATGTACAAAATAGTAAATAAAATAAATATGAATTATGCATTTTAACACTTGTAAATATGTTTAATCATTTTTTAATGAACAATCTATGCTAATGAATTATCAAAAACAATGAATTCTCTTTAACCTTTTTATAACTTAAATATGTTACCACTTTTATTACTTTTAACACTGCGATTATTATCCGGGTTACACCCACGTATGACACTAGTGTAAATATCCTCATGGGTTCACATGGAGAAATGTTACCTTCAGGTGAGAGCCAGATCCCATCCGGTCTCTGAAACTAAGCAGGACAGGGCCTGGTCAGTACTGAGATGGGAGACATCACAGAACTGGGAACACAGTGGGGCGGCTGTAAAGTGTCCCTATAAGCAAGACACTTCACATTCCCAACCAAATAAGTAATGCATAAATAATAAGGTGGCGGTTAGCTGTGCTTCTAAGTTCTGTCAGAAGAAATGTTACAATGTACTATGTACTTATGTATGTTTTTTAACCTACTGCTGCCACTGCACACTTGGGGCAGGATGACGAAAGCATGCATCTGGTTTAGTTTGGTAAATGTGATATTCTGTGTTTGAAACACTTTGGTCGCTGCTTTTGTTTTGTTCCAATCAAAAAGCAGAAAAACAATTATTCCGCAAATATGAAAAGGCCAGCGTTTGTTGGGACCGTCCTGTTCAAAGGTTCCTCCTGGAATTATCTGAACCGAGATACGGTCAAATAAGAGCAAACATAAAAAGCATTCATCATTTCTTTTTCCCTCAAAAATGATTCAAATGACGTTTACAGCCCATTATCACAACAGTAATCACACCTCTCTCTTCCATCGCGTCCTCAGATATTTGCCTCAGGGCGTTGGAATGTTCCTTTATGGACATATACAGCCTGGGTCTGGGTGGGGGTCACATTCCACAGTCTATGTTCCACCGTATGTTTGTCACTGGTTAATTACAGACCTTCGCAATGACAAGTCCGATAACGGGAAGTGGCTCTGCCTTTTCCCACGGACGGCTTTAGGTGAAACAGGTCTGAGAATGGCGTCAGATAAACAGCATCGTGCTCTCATCCCAACGGTATGTGACATCACTCCTTCTCGCTCTCCTCTGTTCAGGGTTTTTGTGTTGGATAAACCGGTGTCGAAGCGGCTCAAACCGACTCACCTGAGCAGAGAGGGCCGTGTCATGGTTTGTCATCCTCTCCTAGACACGCTGCAGTGAACGCCATGACCATATATGGGGGTGTCAGGGGGGGCCAATGGGGGGGCGTGGTCGGACCTGCACCCAGCCTCACAACCACATGAATAGTTTCTGATTCTGGTATAAACACAGATGAATCACCAGAATACTACACGCGTTATTACACAATGGTCTTGTTTGTTGTTTTTGCCCTTCCCTTTCCCCGAGATACAGTTTGATATGTGAGACCATAGCTGCAGGTGATAACCAGATCCTGGCAGAACTCTGAGGCTAAGCTGGGCAGGGCCTGGTTAGTGCTGTGATGGGAGACCTCTGGGAACACCGGGTGACGCAGGGGGGCGGCTGCGGTTGTTAAGAGCCAAACTGTGATCGTGGCAAGACACTTCACCCACTTTAGAATGAGTCTGGTAGGTGTGTGTGTGGTTGGTGGAGGCCAGAGGGTCCGATGGCACAGACTGGTTGCTACTGTCAGTGTGCCCCAGGGCAGCTGTGGCTACAGTTTATCACCACTGGTTGTAGAATGAAATAAATAATGCCATGTGCAGCATCTTTGAGAGTCCAAAACAGCTCTAGTCTTAGGTTTCAACAAACTGGCCTGTAGGGGGCGCATGAGCAGAGGTGGGACAGTGTTGCTCCCATTGACTCCAAAAAGTCGGTTTTGGAGTCAAAGGCTCTCCTCCTGTGCGGTGTACAGTTGTTGGAACAGTCTTAATCGGGGACACTCAGTTCTAAGGGAGGACTAACAAATACTTCTTAAAAGAGTCTTGATTTCAGGCATTTTTGAAAAGAAAAAAAAAACAGAAGAAATGTCTTCGTTTCATTGGGGTGGCCTGCAGGGGGCGCTTATCTGGGAAAGCCTTGATCCACCTCGCCCGCCTCATTCCAGTGATTTTTTCAGAGTCTCCTCCTTTATATGAGACCACAGTTGGAACATGAACAAACTCTGGTCTTTCTCTCTATTTGTGCTGTTGCTACAAGCGTACACCGCACAAAAAGATGGCATTTTGACACCGCTTCTTCTTCAACTATATCTCCGTGTAGAAACTGCTTCTTCTTCTACTATGGCCCCGTCCCAACACTCGCACTTCCACCCTCGCGCCCCTCATTTGCGCGTTCCCGATAAAGGGTGCGAGTGCGTAGGGTCCAGTCCCAATTCTCCAGGGAGGTCTTTGGCCCCGCCCCCTTTGCGCCCCTGATCCACACTTCGCCGTAGCCTGCATCTATGCACACTCTGGCGAAGGATATTGCCCATAATTCTTTGCGGTACACACCAAAACGTCGGGAAAATGCATTTAAATATACATTTTGAAATATATATGCAGTATGTGTGTAAATAAGTTTTGCTGTTACTTGGAAAGAAGCATAAATGTCTGATGAAGAATTACGGACATTGTGTTTTAACAATTTAATAACTTTTTAAAGCAAGCGTTCATATAACATTCAATTTAAACTTTACACTTGGTACAATAATCTTCGAATGTATAAAAATTGACCAGATATGACTTAAATTATACAGCTATCTCTAATTAAAAACAACTAATATACATGTATTTTAACGTGTGTGAACCAATTCATATTGTTTCCCAAAGGGTCAGACAAAATTACCTTTAATGTTTATAAAGTTTAGGTCTGAAAATGACCATCTCTGACGAGTCGATGACGTAACCTGCACTCAGTGTGCTCTGTCCTAATTCTGCCTTTTGTGCACACTTGTAACCTGCCACTCCAACCCTGGTGTGCACTTCCAACAACTGCACACTTCGAAGAGGTGTGTAGGGTGCAGTGTGGGTATTGGGACTGGGCCTATATCTCCGTGTATAAACCGCTTCTTCTTCTACTACATCTCCGTGTATAAACCTGGCAGACTGCACCGTCACGTCCTGTCCTACGTTTGTCATTCGCGCCACTGCCCTGACGTCATATGAAACCCAAGAATATAAAACTGATGCTACATGCTGAGATTTTTTCAGAAATGTTTTCATATCTTAACATAACATAAACATGAAATTCCAACTTCATTCTTGCATTTAAAATATCAAATATGATCATAATGTTTCCTTCAGCAGCAGAGGTTCAGTTTTAAACAGTTAGTCATTGACCTGTCATTAACTCAGAACAATTATTTTTCAAGGACAATGTATTTATCGGCTTAGTTTGGTGCCTGAGGCTATAGTTAAACCGTCACCCTGAAGTCAAATGCAGCAGGAGCCTGTGATTCTGAAGCTGTCATCAGACCACAGGCAGAGAACGTCCAACTACTATTTCATCTAATCAGTCACGTGTTTACTTCCTGTGTCCGGGAATATAACACACCGGTAAAGAGAGAGAAACCCTGATTCACCCTGATTTAAAGTGCACTAACTAAAACTGATTCTGGTTTCAGAAGCACCGATTACGGTCTGCATTATGAATTTAGGACAGTTCATATTTACGGTCACAGTCATAGAGTCGTGGCGGCATTAATATGTAACTCTTCATATGTGACTGCTGTCAGACTGTACAATGAGAACTGCTGACAGAGTTTAAAAGAGAAGAGAAAGTCCGAGGAAGAGCAGATCTTCATCAATGAGACCGCTTTGATTTTAACCAATGTTTCAGGACTCCTTTAAAGAAGCTATACTCGATTTTTTTTCTAAGTAGTTCATAAAAATGCTTTTTACTACATACAAGTTGTATCATAATACATACTTTAATCGAAAACTTGAGGTCATTGATTCAGCTGTGTATGAAATTTATGCCGTAAAATGTGCTGAGTAGAGTCTGAGCGGGCCGCTCTTTCTCCTCCCCTCACAGAACGAGCAGCGAGCAGCCTGCGTCCTCTAGCCTCTACAGCGCTGCTTAACACCAGGGCTTCGACTTCAACATTCGAATATAATTCTACAATAAAATAATATATATATATATATATATATTCGAACAAATATTAGACAGCCCTTACAATTCGAAATGTATTTAATGACTGCAAATAAAATAGTTAGCTCCCAAAGGTTTCACCGAGACGTGCTAGGCAGGTAACAGCTAAGCTAGCTAGCTGTTTCATGGTAACTTCCGGGTTTTTCGCGATCGCTTTTTGTCACTTTAAAACAGTATTTTTGTCATGAAAACGTTGACCGCAAATTCTGAAATCGCCCGTGCAAGTGTCATCTCAAGTGTCATTGTCTGATTAACGTTTAATGGTGTTGATTGATAGTTAGATATGTAGCTAGTTGTTTATTGAGCGTGGCTAGCTCCGCTAGCTCCGTTGGCTTCTCTACACAGACAAGTGATAGTGACAGGCGCTGATAGCTTGTAATTGCGGAGTAATGGCAGTATTTTACACACCTGAATTACAAACAGAGGTTGCATTGGGGCTTCGGTCATTATTGATTTGAGAGTTCTGTTATCAAGAAAAAATGATCGGAAGAATTGCATTCAAGTCAATGGAGTGCTGCTGCTGTGAGGAGCTGTATAATAAATTATAATTCAATATTAGAATATATTCTAATGTTTAAATTAATACATTCGGACGCGAAACAAGCGGTATTCTTTTACTTATATATTGTGTTAGCAGTGCGTTGCTTTTGTACCATTTCATCAGTGATTGTTGCACAGTTTACAAGAAGTTGCGCTAATGCTAATGTTAGCATACGTATCAGATCGCAAATAAAACTAGGTGGTTCCGTGTTATGAGAGCGTAGGGGAAATGAGAAGCCATTGAGCGAGTTGGGGGGTGGTGCTAAACATTCAAACATTGCAGAAACGGGTATAGCGCCTTTAAATGTTCCGTCCCACAGTTACATATTTGTTCTGGCAACTATTTTGGTATGATTTTTTTCCCCTCTTATGCATGTTAGCAATACTTTATTTATTATCTACAGTATATAAACTATGATGGACAAGAGGTGACTTCTGCCCAATATAAAACAAGATAAGACTTTATTGATCTCATAATGGAGAAATGTACATGTCGCATTTGGCACAGATAGAATCACTCAGATTGTGCAAAGGTAAAAAATATAGTCTGTGCAGGATATAATTATGTACAATAAATGCCTGAAATGAATAAATAAACAGACAGACTTTCGCAATGGGCCTCAGAGCCTTTGATAATGTACTTGTTGGAGGGAGCAGCCTCACACCTCCACAGGGCCCTCCGCAGACTATAGTGTGCGTATAGGAAACCCCAGCTCCGCTCTCAGACCTGCATCACGACACGTATCACAGGATTTGGCTTCTCTCCTGGACACATGAGTCAGAGTCCCAGCCCTGGACAAAAGGAAGAGCACACAAGGGTCTGGTCTGGACCCAAACTCGGCCCACGTCCTTCTCCTCTCATTACCCCCGCACAATACAGACGCACACCCCCGCCGCCCACAACACAGACGACATGGATTACTGAAGGTGGACTACGTGACTTCTGTGGTGAACTTCTTAATCTAATGAGGCACATCACACGAAGCTACAGACCCTCGCCTCTGGTTGTGAGCTTTAGGAGATGACAGAAAAGACAAATCACAGGTACAAGCGAGGTTCTGCAGAGCGGCTGCTGCTGAGGCTGAGGGTCTCACACGCGGAGCCAGCTTTAAGACATCTGAAATATACCTCTTTGGGGCATCTCACTTGGTTTTAGACTCTTTTACCATCAGTGCAAGTGTCCTGTAGCAGCAGAAACCCGTCCATCCACAAAAACAAAACAAATAAATTGATATTTCTAGATTTGGCTAACAATAGTATTAAAATGCAACTGTCCTTCAGGTCACAGCAGCAGAGGTGGAGCTGCAGCTTGGTTTGGACCATTTTCTCTGCTCTGGTCCAGAGTAAAATGCTGAATACTTACTTGCATTTTTCAAAAAGTTAGCATCCCTCCAGTGGATTTTGGCCTGATCCACTTGGTTCGGACCATGAATCCTCTCTGCTCTGGTCTGGACCAGTGTAAAACCATGAACACTGAACTGCAGAAACCTACTCAGGCCTCCGTTCTGAAGGCTCTCTGGGTAAGATGTTTGCCCATTCAAACCAATGCCCTGCACTCATTCGCCATGCAAGTGAAGCCAGCTCTGGATCCCGCTGTCTCAGACCAGAGCAACATGAAAGTGTTCTGATCTTGTGCTAATACTCGAGCACATAGTGATATGTGAGTTTTAGCCGATGGGGGAAACCCAGTGTGGGCGGGTCCCGGCTCAAAAATGTTCAAAATGACGTGCGCTGACATGCTGCAATACCACCCCGGGCCTGTGGGGGTGGACCTGGAAATAGAATTATTCAATGCTAATGGATAGGATCTTCTTACCTCTTGAAAACGTCTTTGCAGGATGGTCCAAAAGTGGCTCTTGGCTCAAAGCTCCGTTCCAGATGCTGTCGATGTTAAGGGGAGTATATATTTTTTGGACCAGTCTAGTTTAGCCCCTGCGGCCATTTCTACACTACCCATAGATAGCGAAAGTGGTGGCACATTAGTTTTAACGGCGGAGATAGGCGTGACTACATCTGTTAATATTTACAGTCTATGGGGAAGGGGAGAAACATGCTAACTCCACTCAAAAAGGCCCTGCACTGTGGCAGACGGGATGGATGCTGACTGTCTGAAGAAGGGTTGTCCATCTTGGTTGACTGACTTAAAATAATTTCGGTGGATTCTGAAAACCACCCTCTCGGCCATGTAACTAAGACACATCAGGGCCTTCACTGAGGCCAAGTACCTGTGCTGCAGACTCCTCCGCTCTGAGGCCAAGTAGCTGTGCTGCAGACTCCTCCGCTCTGACGCCAAGTACCTGAGCTGCAGACTCCTCCGCTCTGAGGCCAAGTACCTGTGCTGCAAACTCCTCCGCTCTGAGGCCAAGTACCTGTGCTGCAGACTCCTCCGCTCTGAGGCCAAGTACCTGTGCTGCAGACTCCTCCGCTCTGAGGCCAAGTACCTGAGCTGCAGACTCCTCCGCTCTGAGGCCAAGTACCTGTGCTGCAGACTCCTCCGCTCTCAGGCCAAGTACCTGTGCTGCAGACTCCTCCGCTCTGAGGCCCATGTACCTGTGCTGCAGACTCCTCCGCTCTGAGGCCAAGTACCTGTGCTGCAGACTCCTCCGCTCTGAGGCCAAGTACCTGAGCTGCAGACTCCTCCGCTCTGAGGCCAAGTACCTGTGCTGCAGACTCCTCCGCTCTGAGGCCAAGTACCTGAGCTGCAGACTCCTCCGCTCTGAGGCCAAGTACCTGTGCTGCAGACTCCTCCGCTCTGAGGCCAAGTACCTGTGCTGCAGACTCCTCCGCTCTCAGGCCAAGTACCTGTGCTGCAGACTCCTCCGCTCTGAGGCCAAGTACCTGAGCTGCAGACTCCTCCGCTCTGAGGCCAAGTACCTGTGCTGCAGACTCCTCCACTCTGAGGCCAAGTACCTGTGCTGCAGACTCCTCCGCTCTGAGGCCAAGTACCTGAGCTGCAGACTCCTCGCTCTGAGGCCAAGTACCTGTGCTGCAGACTCCTCCGCTCTGAGGCCAAGTACCTGTGCTGCAGACTCCTCCGCTCTGAGGCCAAGTACCTGTGCTGCAGACTCCTCCGCTCTGAGGCCAAGTACCTGTGCTGCAGACTCCTCCGCTCTGAGGCCAAGTACCTGTGCTGCAGACTCTTACGCTCTGTCTGTTATAATGACAACCATTATGAAGGGAACTAACAACTGATGCACATGACTCAATTAGAATGTTTTTTTTATGGGTGGATTTTGATGTGACGCAGAGCGAGCCGTCAATGTGTCCGCCACGATTAGTGATGCATGATGGGAAAGTGACCGCAGCTCGGTGAATCCGTGCCTCTCGTCACGTCAGCCACAATAACTGTGTGTGAGGGAAAAGAGATCCAGCCAAATCCATTCCTGTCAGCGCTGTGTGGTTTGGACCGGACTGAGCTCTTCACACCTCAGGGAGAGACACTTACAGTCAGAGGAACTCACAGTCAGAGGAACTCTTATAGTCAGAGACACTTATAGTCAGAGACACTTACAGTCAGAGACACTTATAGTCAGAGGAACTCACAGTCAGAGACACTCACAGTCAGAGACACTTATAGTCAGAGACACTTACAGTCAGAGACACTTACAGTCAGAGACACTTACAGTCAGAGACACTTATAGTCAGAGGAACTCACAGTCAGAGACACTCACAGTCAGAGACACTTATAGTCAGAGACACTTACAGTCAGAGACACTTACAGTCAGAGACACTTACAGTCAGAGACACTTACAGTCAGAGACACTTACAGTCAGAGACACTCACAGTCAGAGACACTTATAGTCAGAGACACTTACAGTCAGAGACACTTATAGTCAGAGGAACTCACAGTCAGAGACACTCACAGTCAGAGACACTTATAGTCAGAGACACTTACAGTCAGAGACACTTACAGTCAGAGACACTCACAGTCAGAGACACTCACAGTCAGAGACACTTATAGTCAGAGACACTTACAGTCAGAGACACTTACAGTCAGAGACACTTACAGTCAGAGACACTCACAGTCAGAGACACTTACAGTCAGAGACACTTACAGTCAGAGACACTTACAGTCAGAGACACTTATAGTCAGAGACACTCACAGTCAGAGACACTTATAGTCAGAGGAACTCACAGTCAGAGACACTCACAGTCAGAGACACTTATAGTCAGAGACACTTACAGTCAGAGACATAGTCAGAGGAACTCACAGTCAGAGACACTCACAGTCAGAGACACTTATAGTCAGAGACACTTATAGTCAGAGACACTTACAGTCAGAGACACTTACAGTCAGAGACACTTACAGTCAGAGACACTTATAGTCAGAGACACTCACAGTCAGAGACACTTACAGTCAGAGACACTTATAGTCAGAGAAACTCACAGTCAGAGACACTCACAGTCAGAGACACTTACAGTCAGAGACACTCACAGTCAGAGACACTTACAGTCAGAGACACTTACAGTCAGAGACACTCACAGTCAGAGACACTTACAGTCAGAGGCACTTACAGTCAGAGACATTCACAGTCAGAGACACTTACAGTCAGAGACACTTACAGTCAGAGACACTTACAGTCAGAGACACTTATAGTCAGAGACACTCACAGTCAGAGACACTCACAGTCAGAGACACTTATAGTCAGAAAAACTCACAGTCAGAGACACTTACAGTCAGAGACACTTATAGTCAGAGAAACTCACAGTCAGAGACACTTACAGTCAGAGACACTTACAGTCAGAGGCACTCACAGTCAGAGACACTTACAGTCAGAGACACTTACAGTCAGAGACACTTATAGTCAGAGACACTCACAGTCAGAGACACTTACAGTCAGAGACACTTATAGTCAGAGACACTCACAGTCAGAGACACTTACAGTCAGAGGCACTTACAGTCAGAGACACTTACAGTCAGAGACACTTACAGTCAGAGACACTTATAGTCAGAGGAACTCACAGTCAGAGACACTCACAGTCAGAGACACTTATAGTCAGAGACACTCACAGTCAGAGACACTTACAGTCAGAGACACTTACAGTCAGAGACACTCACAGTCAGAGACACTTATAGTCAGAGGAACTCACAGTCAGAGACACTCACAGTCAGAGACACTTATAGTCAGAGACACTTACAGTCAGAGACACTTACAGTCAGAGACACTTACAGTCAGAGACACTCACAGTCAGAGACACTTATAGTCAGAGACACTTACAGTTAGAGACACTTATAGTCAGAGGAACTCACAGTCAGAGACACTCACAGTCAGAGACACTTATAGTCAGAGACACTTACAGTCAGAGACACTTACAGTCAGAGACACTTACAGTCAGAGACACTTACAGTCAGAGACACTTATAGTCAGAGACACTCACAGTCAGAGACACTTATAGTCAGAGGAACTCACAGTCAGAGACACTCACAGTCAGAGACACTTATAGTCAGAGACACTTACAGTCAGAGACACTTATAGTCAGAGGAACTCACAGTCAGAGACACTCACAGTCAGAGACACTCACAGTCAGAGACACTTATAGTCAGAGACACTTATAGTCAGAGACACTTATAGTCAGAGACACTCACAGTCAGAGACACTTACAGTCAGAGACACTTATAGTCAGAGACACTCACAGTCAGAGACACTTACAGTCAGAGACACTTACAGTCAGAGACACTCACAGTCAGAGACACTCACAGTCAGAGACACTTACAGTCAGAGACACTTACAGTCAGAGACACTCACAGTCAGAGACACTTACAGTCAGAGACACTTACAGTCAGAGGCACTTACAGTCAGAGACACTTACAGTCAGAGACACTTAAAGTCAGAGACACTCACAGTCAGAGACACTTACAGTCAGAGACACTTACAGTCAGAGACACTTACAGTCAGAGACACTTACAGTCAGAGACACTCACAGTCAGAGACACTCACAGTCAGAGACACTACAGTCAGAGACACTTACAGTCAGACACTACAGTCAGAGACACTCACAGTCAGAGACACTTACAGTCAGAGACACTTACAGTCAGAGGCCTACAGTCAGAGACACTTACAGTCAGAGACACTTACAGTCAGAGACACTTATAGTCAGAGACACTCACAGTCAGAGACACTTACAGTCAGAGACACTTACAGTCAGAGGCACTTACAGTCAGAGACACTTACAGTCAGAGACACTTACAGTCAGAGACACTTATAGTCAGAGACACTCACAGTCAGAGACACTTACAGTCAGAGACACTTACAGTCAGAGACACTTACAGTCAGAGACACTTACAGTCAGAGACACTTACAGTCAGAGACACTCACAGTCAGAGACACTCACAGTCAGAGACACTTACAGTCAGAGGCACTTACAGTCAGAGACACTTACAGTCAGAGACACTTACAGTCAGAGGAGCCAGGCTTTCACTCAAGTGCCGTCACTTCTATGAGACATTATTTTATTTTAATGCGTTTTGACCAATGACTTCTTCCAGTGAGGTCCATTTGGAACAAAAAACAACATGCTAAGATCTATACATACAGCTACTGTATATATTTCTTGCAATAGAATATACAGGATTTCAGACTTGCTTCTTTATCATGTGGGCGGCCATGTTCTCCCTGTGTCTGCGTAGGTTAATCTCCGGTTTCCCCTACCACTAAAAACATGCACAATAGGTCTGAATGTAAATGAGAGAGTGAATGGATGGTGTTGGAGCTGATGGTCCAGTGTGTTCTGGACTCGCTTCTGTCATCACCGTGTGTGGAAGGACTGGAACAATATCTGACTCTGAACATTGTAAAGTGCTTTGGGTCTGTACCTTGGGCTGTAGAATGTGCTATATAAATAAACATTACTTACTTACTCACTAAAGCTAGTTGTTATATTGTCTTTTTTATTATGTTAGAGGGTTTTTTTTTAGTACATGGTTATTGTCATTTATCTTGTGCTGTGTGCTCCTCATTGCTGTTCTGTAACTGTTGATGCAATACTGAAATTTCCACACTATGGGACCAATTTTAGAAAATAAAGAATTTGCTTGATGCTTAATCTAAAGATAAACTATCTTCTGTGAAGCCTGACTTTGAGAGAAATGCTTTTTGTAATTTTGGGTCGTTCAAAAACTAGTGTAAGTATTGTGGCAATCCCATTATCTGTGTATATAAGATTTAAGACACAGTATGTGTTTTAGTTCAAAGAGCAGGTATGATCTAATCTGGTCTTACCATGTGTAAACTCTGGTCCATGATCATCTCCTACATGTACGTCTAGTCTTACCATGTGTAACCTCTGGTCCATGATCATCTCCTACATGTACGTCTGGTCTTACCATGTGTAAACTCTGGTCCATGATCATTTCCTACATGTACGTCTGGTCTTACCATGTGTAAACTCTGGTCCATGGTCATCTCCTACATGTACGTCTGGTCTTACCATGTGTAAACTCTGGTCCATGATCATTTCCTACATGTACGTCTGGTCTTACCATGTGTAAACTCTGGTCCATGATCATTTCCTACATGTACGTCTGGTCTTACCATGTGTAAACTCTGGTCCATGGTCATCTCCTACATGTACGTCTGGTCTTACCATGTGTAAACTCTGGTCCATGATCATCTCCTACATGTACGTCTGGTCTTACCATGTGTAAACTCTGGTCCATGGTCATCTCCTACATGTACGTCTGGTCTTACCATGTGTAAACTCTGGTCCATGATCATTTCCTACATGTACGTCTGGTCTTACCATGTGTAAACTCTGGTCCATGATCCTTTCCTATATGTACGTCTGGGTCTGATCCTAGTGGCTGCAGTTTCCTCGGTTGAATCTCCTCCGACCAATCAGAGAGCGGGGGAGGCGGGTGTTGTAGGTCGGTGTCGGTGACGTCAAGAGTTTGTGCTGAATTTACTGGTTGTAGTTTGTCGAAGAATGTGATAGTAAAATAATCTGTTCTGGTTCAATCCAAATATCAAGAAACTGAAGCCGGAGCAAGAGGAATGTTTAGTAAATGTTATTGAAGCAAAGATGTTGTGGCTCTACTCCCCACGGGCTAAAGCTAGGCTAAATGCTAAAGCTAGGCTAAATGCTAAAGCTAGGCTAAATGCCTCACTCACTTGGCCTCATTACATACGTGACGTTAAACTCAGATCCAATGGTTTAACTCTGCAAAAGTAGTTAGCCCCTCCCACCTGTTAACA